TTTCCATGGGATCTGTAGTAATTTCCCCCTTTTCAGTCCTTCTTGTATGAATTTGGGTTTTTTCTTTCTTTTTCTTTATAAGGGTAGTAGAGGTTTGTCAACACCATACTGTTTTTATGAATCTGCCTTTCTTTTTTTTTTTTTTTAATTTTATTTAAGGAGAAAAGAAAAAAAAAAGCAGGGAAAGGGTACAAGTTATACAGATTTACAGAAAAAAAATGAACAGTAGGAAATCACTAGTTAATGGATTACATATTGTCATCTTAGAAATAATTGTTCAAGTCACAAAATTAAAGCTTGTAAAGTGGACATTCCATCAATGATACTGCAAACAGTTCTGTTCATTGATCCAATAAAACTCTGTGATATCATTTTCTATCTTATACACTTAAATATGCATGCAGTTATATAGTTTGGAGCACTTTCTTTTCCTCTCTTTTGTACCATGACTATTACACATTTTGGGTTTCATTGCTCCCACGGTTCTTATTACTTTTTTGGAAGAGAGTAAAACCAAATGTGACATAACAGAACAGAATCGGTCAAGTCAAAAGGGTGGACATAATAGATAATGTAAAAACATAATACAAGGTGATCAACAATGGTTACCATAATGCCTCCCGCTATCTCTAATAGAATTGCCTATATCGTTAGTTATAATACAATTGAACAAAACAGTAAAGAATAAAACCGACAAAACCAAAACATTGGAGACATTGTAGGTCTTCAAAAGTAGATAAAAGTCAACAAGAATGGGCGTCATAATGAATCTCATTATCTTCACAGCTGATGCCTAAACTTTCGAACCTGATACTATCCAGCAAACAGAATAGGGGAACATCAGTTAAAAACCAGATGGTGAGAGTAATACAGGGCTTTAAATCAAGGTAATGAAAAGTCAAAGTGGGTTACTATAATATATCCTGCTATTTTTTTCCTTTAATTAAAAGGATAAAGATAAAAAAGTAAATAATGGAGTGGAGATTGAGATAAAAGAGGGCATAACAACGAAACAGCGCAGATCAAAACATAACCATTTAAGCAGAATAGTGTTTCACCACCAGATAATCCTAACCTAAAAGTAGTTACCATATTGTTTCTTTCTTTGAAATCCTTGAGTACAACTTCGTATACTGTAGCATTAAGTATATCAAAACAATGTAAAACCATTCAAGAGAATGACAGCATTACAGAGTATTTAGAATCGACTAACAGAAAATGAACAATGGTTTCTGTATAATCTCCTTGTCTTTAAAAGGTTTTTGCTTATACTATCGTACATAATAAAATCCAATAAGATACAGCCTATTTAGACCATTGGAGACAGAAGGACAAAAGCTAGATGAGACTTCAAAACAAGATGATACTAAATCAGTATTACCTATTAAGATGTCATTTTCTCCAAAATAGCTGTTCCTATCATCCAATCTTCTCTGCCTCATTTCTGTTGAGCTCTTTTTCTGTCAGTAGCTGTCAGTTTGTCTTCTTCATTTTGTTCTCTGCTCCATTCGTTGTGGCCTCTCTGCCATTATTTCTGGATTCTTTGTATTTTTCTTTTTTTAGAATATCCTGTAATACTCTCTGTAGAATTGAATTGGTGGTTGCAAATTCCCCCAGTTCCTCTTTATCCTGGAAGCACCTTGTTTTTCCATCAATTTCCAGGGACAGTTGTGTAGGATATCTCAATCTTGGCTGGAGATTATTATCTTTCAAAGCTTGAATTATTTCCCCCCACGCTCTTCGTGATTTGATGGTTTGTGCAGAGAAATCTGCTGTAATTCTGATGGGTGTTCCCTTGTAAGTGGTCTGTTTCTTGTCTCTTACAGCTTTTAATATTCTGTTCTTGTATTGAATTTCTGGAATTTTTATTATTATATGCCTGGGTGTTGCTCTGTTTGGGTTGTAGGTAGCTGGGGTCCTGTATGCCTCATACATCTGAGTATCTTTACCTTTTGTTAAATTAGGAAAATTCTCCTGGATTATTTCTGTGAGTAGCTGTTGTAGTTCACTTGTTTGTGTCCCTACTTCTTCTTTTATGTTCTTAATCCTTAAGTTATGGATCCTCTTATCATCTTCTTGTCTTTGTATTATTGCTGTTTGTTTCTTTGTTATTTTAAAGAAGTTTTTCATTTCATTCTCCCATATTACAAGTCTGCCCTCCAGTTCAGATAGTCTGTCCTTAGTTTCTTTCAAGCTGTTATGCCAGTCTTCTATAGACTTCTTAGTATCTTGGTAGTCCCTTTGAACCTGCTTCACGTATTCTATGCTTTCTCTGTTTTCTCCATCAAACAATTCTCCCCTTTTTTTCTGTTCTTCCATTCCACCACCTGTTTTTTCTTGGGTGGTACTTAGCATTTCTCTAACTATTCTGCATACTTCTAGCTTCAGGTCATTGATAACTTCATTCCTGAATTGGTCTATGAGGCTCTCTATATGGTGCCTTATGTGTATTGGTGCGGTGTCTGCTATTGCCTGTTTCTCAGAATTGGGGGCCGAGGAGCCTTTCTTGTTGCTGCCTCTTCCCATGCTGCCTCCTCTTCTCTGTTCCTTATATATGCAAGCTTATATAAGAGGCCCAGCTTCTCTCCCAGTCAGCCACAGCCTGATCGAATTGCGCCAGTTAGGTGTTCCCGCTCACCGCTGCGCACCAGGGAGTTACGGACCAGGCAGCCTACGTGTCGGGATCTGGGTTGGGACAGTCTACCAGGTCCGCCGGCAGCATCACGCAGGCCAGGCACTTTTCACCAATCCCGCTTGAGAGGCGGATGTGTGGCTGGAGTCGCCACTGCGCCCTGCTCCCGCAGGACTGCTCGGGCCCAGAAAGTCCTCTGCTGGAGTCAAACTGTGGTAGAGTGTCAGTTTCTCTCACTCACCTCACCACAAGTCAGTGCACGCCTCCCTGCCGTTCGCAGATTGCCGTTCTCAGAGCTTCTGCGCGTCTCTCTCCTTGCCGAGCCACTGTAGAGGCAGCCAGCAGCCGCGCGGCGGGAAACCCAAATCCCGGCTTACAATGGCGCAGGGTCCAGCCTCCACACTGAGGCTTTTCTGTTCCTGTTTTAGCACCAGGACTGCATTCCAAGTTGGTTTCTCTCAGCCCAGTTCGTTCCTGAGTCAGCAGAGCATATCTCCACCTGCTTATGTCTCCTTAATCCGCACCATTCCTGGCTTCTGAGCCGAGTCTTTCAGAGAGCCTCCGGTAGTTGCTGTTATCTGTCCGCCATGTTCTCCCGGAACGAATCTGCCTTTCTGTTAGATGGCACTGGGTGCAATGTTTGTCATATTTTTGATTACACTTCATAAAGACATGAAATAGCACTTCCAGAACTGCTTCAGGAAATCACAAGAATGATGATGTATGTGTTCAGAGAAATAGCAGTGTTTTGAGGGGATTAATGGCAATGTCTTTTACTGTAATTATGAAAAATACAATGTTCAATGTATATTTTGGTTATACCTCATATGTGTGTGTTCTGGGGAATCTGGTATACTTAGATGATAATGGTAGTGTTTGTATGTCTAAGCAGTTTCTAGGAATGTAGCTCAGTGGAGTGTTTGCCTCACATATGCAAGACCGTGGATGTACTCCCCGGTACAGCTGGAAAACAGAAGATTTACCAATATGATGAGGAAAGTGGAGGATGCAGTATAAGAATGGCAGCTTATGAGTTCCAAGAATTAAGTCTTACTAGATACGAAGAACCTCTCAGTGATGAGAATGAATGGTTGGGCAGGGACCAGATCCCAAGTGGTGTATAGCAGAGTTTTGGTGTTATGCCTTCCCTAGTGCTATTAGATGTGCGACCTTTTGTTCTTGGTGTATAAGCAATTTAAGTTCCTTTTCCCCATGATTTTTCTGAATTGAAATAGATTACTGTTTGTACATTTATCTTATTTCCTCATTCTTTATTGGAATGTTATACATTAGTTTTTGTAATTTAAAAATATTTTCTTGAGATTTCATTGGGCACTTGAGAAGAGCCATGTTGATTAGTCCCATCACTACTGAGTAATGAAAATGATCAAACTGGTGATACTTTTTTAATTTAAAAAGATGACTAAAAACAATTGAACCAAGTGAGAAGTGTGACAAAATACGAGACTTTCAGTCTAATTTCATTAAAACTATGGAGACTACTAAATAACCTCTGGTGACCAAAAGCAGAGTGGTTGGATGGAAATAGAAAGATCAGATTGACACTACAGTTTCAAAGGGATGGGAGGAAATTTGGAAGTGATGGCTGCGTGCACTATCTTGATGGTGATGATCAAGGGTCATCCGTATATCAGATTAAACAGTACACGTTATACTTGTTTATAGGAGTCTTCAAAAACCTTTTACTAAAAGAAAAACATGACTTAAAACCAGTGGGCTCATTTTACTTAGTTCAATGTATCTCTAATAGTTACTAGAAAAGATTTACCAAAAATGTTTAGCAAAAGAATTAGTAAATGCTTAATGACTGTTTTAAATTTTCAGTTCAATTTATAAATTCTACCTTTTCTATCTCACCAAAAGAGACCTCTTCAGGAGGTCTGTTATGTTAATAAGAGCTGCAAGAAAGTATTAGTTTGTTTCTTTCACCATATTTCTTCGTGAAGTTTTGTATGTAAAGGTTAGTTAAGATCATATGAAACGTTTGTATTGACTCTTACAAATATATTTGCATATATTGATGGAAATGTTACTAGACACAGGAAGCAACCCTAGTGAAGGATGTTTTCTTGTCCACATTGTTAGCAAGTTTTTATTTCTGTACTTGTAAACAGAATACTCTTAAAAAATTCTATTTTGAGATAAGTATTGTATAATCTCTCATTTTCTCTCTCTGAAGACTCATTTCTCTCACGGTGATTTCCCCAAATTCTGACTGCTTCCTTGATTAGTATTGCTTTTGATCCTTTTTCTCTATTGGTGGATCAGGGGTAAAACTGTTAAATAGGTTAAAATAAATCATTGCAATTGGTAAATATAATCTTTGTATGTGTTTTGTTTTTGACAGCCGATTTATTTTGCATATTCCCAGCGAGGAAAGAGACAATGCAATCCGAGTGTGTTTTCAGATTGAACTTGCCCATTGGTTTTACTTGGATTTCTACATGCAGAACACACCAGGATTACCTCAGTGTGGGATAAGGGACTTTGCTAAAGCTGATATCCTTTTGTTACTATGATGACTGTCTTTCATTCTCGTTAATAAAAGTTTCAATTTCCTTTTGCTTGTCTTTGAGATTTTTAACTTACTAAATAGCATGTCCTTGATTTCTAAAAATTGTCTCTCATATATGTATGTATGTGTGTGTATATATTACATATATATATTCATTTTTTAAGGGTTAGGGATATAGCCCAGTAGTAGAGCACTTACCTAACATACACTGAGGCTCTGGGTTTGATCCTCAGTACTCAAAAAAAAAAAAATATATATATATATATATATATATATATATATATAGTAGACTCAATGTAGTAATATAGTCTTATTTCTATACATAGTCTCTTGAAAGATCATAAATTAGAAGTTGACTTTACGGGGCTGGGGATTTAGCTTAGCAGCATAAGCACCTGCCTTGTGAGCAGGCGGCATGAGTTCAATCCCTGGTACCAGAAAAAATAAGAAAAAAAAAAAAAAAAAAGAAATTGATTTTACTTTCTTTTAGAAACTATTTCTAAAACATATGTTTTTAACTTCATTCTTAGACTGTTTTATCAAATAATCTTCAATCAGATTACTGTTCGGATTTACTTAGAGATTTCTTTTTTTTTTTTTTTTTTTTTTTGTCTTTTTCCTTTTTATCGGTACCGGGGATCTAACTCATGACTGTTTGCTTGCAAGGCAGGCGCTTATGCCGCTGAGCTAAATCCCCAGCCCCTTAGAGATTTCTTAATAATTACCAAATATTCACTGTGTTAAAAGCAGTTGAGCTAAGATGCCTTGTTTTGCATTGTGGAGGTCTCCCCCCTCCCGCACCAAGCATAAAGCATATATACATTCAACTGAATTTGTACTTCCAAGCCTAGTATATTAGAACTACAGTTGAAATAGGTATTGGTGACATAAAATATCTGCTTCCTGTCGCTTTCTTGCGTTCCATGAAATACAGAGCTCCTTAGACTGTAGAAAATGGATAAAATACTGTTTTGGATAGGTTAATCATAGTAAGTTTTTGATCAAGGTAAGCAGTGTTACTCAGATCATTTTAAGTAGTATTGGAGGGAATTTACTCAGCCCTTAGTTTGGACCATGCAGTAGGCTGTTTTCTAACTTGAGATAAGGAGCAGGAAGGTTCTGAGCCACAATAATGAAATTATAAAGAAAAAGCGTATGAGAAACAGATATCAAAGCAGGTGGTTAAACCATTTGACCCATTAAATATTTAGGAGTTAATGAGGAATCAAAGGGAGATAGAGGTATACTGTATACCATCTTTGGCTTGGTTATAGGTAATATGAAGAAGTCTTTGGTTTTAGGGAGTTACAGTCCAGTTAACCCATCTTTTGTTTTGGTCATTTTGTGTAGATTTATGTTTCTACCATAGCAGCTCTGTATACTTTGGGGTTCTGGATAAGATTTTTGCATATAACTGTGCACGTAAGTTTTTGTACTTTCTTTGCCATTAGAAAGTAAACATAAAACTATTTTAGTTTAATATCACGGGGAAGAACTTTAGTGAGTTCTTCTGTTAAATAACTAAATGGTTACTCTGTGCCACACATTATAAACTGAATAAGGAAAACTCATTGTTTTCAACGTGGAAACAGGAAAAGAATCACAGTTCAGTATGGTAAGATAAATAGTACAGTACAGAGTTCAGAGAGAGGAGAGAAGGATCAAGATTTGCGGTTACTAGTTCGATCCTGAACTTACCACTCAGAGATCTTGGGAAAGTTATTTAAGGTTTCCTGTTCTTAGTCTCTTTATCAAAAAAGGAAAATTAGTAATTGTGTCTAATTCAAAGCATAAGTTTGAAAATTATGCTAATTTGTACATGTAAATTGTTTAGGGCAGTGCCTGGTGATCAATACTTGTTAACTACAGACTCTACTTAAAAACTGTACACACAGCAGGGAAAGTAATACGAGTTTTTTTTTTTTTTTAAACAGGTATTGTTTCCCTTGTATAGAGGATCCGTACAAGTTGTTGTATATTGTAGAAAACTTTAGAGAATTTGAAAATGCATGCGCAACCATCTCAATAACCAAGGTTACGCAAGCAGCAGCTCACCATACTATTAAAGGTCAGGAAGCTGATGGCTTCCACTTTGAGCACCTCTTGTAATTATTGAGGCTAAGCGTAACTTGTATTAATCTCATAATGTCTCACTCATTTATTGTTAAATATTTATACAAGTTTTTCTTTTCCTGATGCATGTATACATTTTTTGATTGTAACTTTTGAAATTTTTAGATGACTCTTTTGGAGAAAATATGTGTGAGAAAGATCTATGAGGATATGAAAAAAGTAACATGTATTTTAGCATAAATGAGAAATAAGTGATGGCAGAGAGTAAGTGGTAGTCTAAAACAGTCTGTGGACCACATTTGCTTGAAAAAGTAACAGCATTTTCAAAAGACTTTTGGGGGAAACCCCTGCAAATTACACAAAAAGTGAAAAAATTTAGTGAACTAGAGCATACTTTTTGTGTGTGTTTCATTCCCGTTTTGTCATATTTCTCTGTAGAAAGAATTTCGAAATAGTGTGGACAATGAATTGGAAGAAGTCAAGATTGCATGCTGAGATGCTTTTTATTTAGGAGAGAGAATGAAAACATGATATGTAGGAGATAAAGTTGGTAATTACTTGAATATCTAGGGCCCAGAAGATTTCTGCAGTTGGGTGGATGAAGTGTGCCATACTGTTTATAGGGAAATGAGGTAGGTATAGAGCAGCTGAGTTTGGGATGCTGGAGTGGAGACTGCGTTCCTTCGGAGTTAGCATGATTTCTGGAGCCACGTTCTTTGAGTTAGCATCCTGCCTCCCATTTACTAGCTGCATTTGTGGACAAATTGTGATACTTTCCAATACCGTTTTTCTGTCTTGTAAATTGTGCAGTCTTGCTGTTTTTCTTCAATAAGTAGTCAGCAATGTGGATAGATGTGGAGAGGTAGACTACAGTTCAGGGAGGAAAATAAAAGCAGGAGGGTACTAATAGGGAGAAAGGAAAACAATCAAGGACTGATGCAAAATGTATCAGTAAGGTAATGGTGAACATTTAGTTTTGTGACGATAAAGGTGTACCTTGAAATTATGAATGGTGACATTTTAAGGAGAAGAACAAAGAGGAAAACTGAATATACTTCCTATTCTAAGGTATTAGGTATTATCTTTGGGGTCTTTTTATGTTTCCCTGGTTAATTTTTTAATGAAAGAAGTACCTATTTAAAACTTATACTTTGGTTAGGTTAAAAAGAAAGTCTATGATGACTATGACATATAGAATTTTACTGAAAAATATTAAGCCAGACTTATACTGGTAAATAAGCTTTCTCTGTGTATCTACAGATATTCATGAGATGGTTAATGTATCCAAACATAGATCCTGTTTTCATCCTCCCCAAATGAAGGCATGGAATAAGATTGAGATTAATTTTGTACCTAGCTTTTAATTATGATGTTGTTATAGGTATTTACTCTTTGGACTTGCTAAGAGTCTTTTTAGTTCTTGTTACAACTTTAAAATCAAAACAAATTTTAAAATGCAAAATTGTGGAACACATAACATTCAAATTAATAAAATGAATTTAATGTGATTTTTTGTTTTGTCCAGGCCTCTCGTCTGAGTGGAAATATGGTGCTAACGTAAAGATTCTTTTGAGTTTGGTGTCTGTGTACTGCCACTTTTTATGCCACCTTTTCCTCTTTCCTCTTTTATGTTTCTTTTAGGGTATTACTTGGTATCATTTGACTATTGTGCACATAATGTATGATACTCTGGATATATGTTAGGTTTGATTCTGTTTTAGTAGCTCACAATAATTAAAGTAGTTGTGGTATGATTTCTGAAGTCCTATCGTGGTGTTTCATAAATGTGCTTACCCAAATAATTATTATGTTTTTTTACTTTAACATTAGAATGAGAACACGGTACAAGTTTTTTTAGAGTACTTGAGAATCCTTAAAAATAAGGTTTCCATTTAAAAAATACTACCATAAACTATGAATTTTCATACATTTTTCAAAATTAGCAATTACAGTGATGAGATATTTGGTGGCACGGATTATTGGAAGGCATACAGTTTCAGGGTTTGAGTTTTACGCCCTCTGCCCCCATACTGTGTACTCTCCAGTTTGGGGGGATGAACATATCCAGTTTTTTTTCTTTTTTTCTTTTTTTTAAATTGGCAATCTTTCCTTAATACCTTTATTTACTTTTCTGTATAGTTCTTAAATCTTCTCCTTTAAAATATTTTTCATTATAAAACTAATACATGTATATGGTAAAGAAATTTAAGGGTATGGAACATTATATATCTTATCCCTAGTCCTGCTTCCCAGAGTTTCTCGTGTGTTCTTATGGTTTCTTTTCACAATATGTGTTCTCTATCTCAGTCTCCATCTCTATTCCTCCCTCTCTCCATACTTCTGTTTCTTGCTGTCAGTTTCAGTTCATTTCACTCTGATAATTATGAATTTGAAAGGTATTTGAGATACTACAGGTTTTGAATTCATTTGTGTTAACTCTGGGATCTAGGATTCTTCATTATCCAAAATTCACTTGATTTGTGTCTAGGCTGAATACAGAAATTAGCAATGAATTGGTTCAAGAGAAAATGAATATGGAAGAAACAAAAAATGTTAAACCTAAGTAAAGTGCTATTTTGAGTAATTTCATCTAAAATGCAGTTGATTTAAATAGGTCTCTTTCTGTATGTGATTTTTCAAGCTATATTAAGAGAGAAATGAATTTCCTTAACATTGTACTCTTCAGTCATTGCCCATTTTTGCTGCCTCAAGGTGAAGATGTGGAAAAAATTTTGGATGAATGGAAGGAATATAAAATGGGAGTACCAACATATGGTGCAATTATTCTTGATGAGACACTTGAAAATGTGAGTGTAATAAAACAAGAAAAGATGGGTGATCACCTGTTACTTTTCAGTTTATAAACAAAAGTTGTCGTGTGGTTCTTCTGGAGTACACTTAGCTCTATAGAGCTAAAGGGCCAAATTTGCGTATTTTGATACATTCTGGGTCTTAAGATTTTGTAGTGGTTGCAGTTATAGCTCATTCCAAAAAAATGTCATTTTATTACTGAAAAACCAATTTTTAAAAAAAGGCAAAATGCCTATCTTTAGAGTAATAGTATACTTAGACTTATGGGAGTCTTTTTAAGTCAAATGCCATGTACAGTCATCGGTATAGTTCGTGAATTTTCTCCTTTAAAATATTTTTCATTATAAAACTAGTACATGTATATGGTAAAGAAATTTAAGGGTATGGAACATTATATATCTTATCCCTAGCCCTGCTTCCCAGAGTTTCTCGTGTGTTCTTATGGTAGTAGTAGTTACTTGAAAAATGTCTTTCATTTTAGGAGCATTCGAAAGAAAGGCAAGTTTGAGTTACATTTCTGCTTGTTTTGTAGGTACTACTGGTTCAGGGGTACCTAGCAAAATCAGGCTGGGGATTTCCAAAAGGAAAAGTAAATAAAGAAGAAGCTCCTCATGATTGTGCTGCTAGAGAGGTAAGTACTGCTGTCTCAAGCAGTGTATTTGATTGTTAGTTTCCAGGTATTGTCTAACCACTTACCAGTCCAGTTATTTAAATGCCAGAATGACCAAAAATGTCATATTTTTTATTGATTTTTATAAGACAATCAATATAAAAAGACCAGTTTTGCTGAATGTATTTAATGTAAGAATCTACTAGTTAAATGACACTTGGGATAGTGTGAAACGCGCTGCCTGAGTGAGGCTTGGTGTAAACTGGTAAGTGGTTACAGCTGTGTGGGCCTGTTCTTTGAGCCAATCTAATCTTCTTTCTAAAACTTAAGAGTTCAGGAAGTACTGTAACTTACAACATAACCATGATTGTTTTGTCCCTGTATGTACCTTGCCGTTTATTTTTGTTTCCATTTGTTTTCCTCCCTTTTTTCCCTCTATTTTTGTTTTTGTGGTACTGTGCTTTTGCACTGTGCTACACTTCCAGCCCTTCTTTATTCTTTATTTTCAGAAGAATGTTTTTAAGTTACTAAGTTGCCCGGGCTGGTCTTGAACCTGCAGTCCTCCTCCCTCCACTTCACTCAGAGCTGGGATTACAGGTGTGCATCTCATTGGACTGTCCACTTTAAAAATCATTTCCTTTGCTTTCTTTTTTTATGATGGTGTGTTCTCAACCTTTTAGGATTGACTTTGTAATTGCAAAACATTTCAGCTATTACATTCCTTGTTTTGTAGTTTTGACTTTTATGTAGGTGTACAAATGGGAGTATTCTGAGAAATTTACATTTGTTGCTTGAGAGCCTATGCCTGTAAGATGAAGTTTAATTCTTGAAGATTTAAAACTCCATCTCCTCTCAGAAACACACATCTGAGTCATTTAAGAGATTTATTTGCTGTCCTCTGAATTTGGCAATTTTGTTCAGACCCTAAAATTTCGCTACGATTATTTCCCTACCTGAAATACCTCTCTTCTTTCTTCCTGTTTGAATCCTGTATATTTATGTTTCTAAACCAGCTCAAATTATTATTTTTCTTTGAAGTTCTGTGACAAATTAGCTTGTGTATAGGACTTCAGTTTCTTCTCTGTAAAGTGAAATTTAGAGTGGGTAAGTTTTCTAGTTCATCCTTGCTAAGAAGTCTAGTTTACCAGCCAGCTGTAGCCCACAGTAATCTCTGAACTTTAATAGTAGCTACTGTTACCATTTGTGTAGCATTAATTACATAGTACCTTGTATTTACAGTTCTTTATCATTACACTGTACTTTGTCTTTGAGATTTGACATGTTGACCTGCAGTAAGTATGATGTAATAGAAAGAGTTGCAGTGTAGAACTAGAAGGTCTTTGTTCTAGTGTAGGCTCTGTTACTTAATAGCCTAGAAGACATTGTTTTGGGAAAGTCATTTAATCTCTATAAAACAAATTTAGTAAGGAGAATCTCTTTCAAGAATGTCATAACTAGAAATGATAGCTTTAAGGAAGAAAAAAACCAAGGTAGTGATTTTAATTTGATATTTTTTTCAGATAGTAAAATGGATTTTGTGACATATTTTATTAGAGTCCATTGCCTTAGATGTTTTTCTGCAGTCATGTTTATTGCCTATTTTAAATGTAACTGGTAGTGAGGAATAAAAGTTCATATTCTCTTAAACCATTACCTGTTAGTACAGAATAAAACTTTAAATTCTTATAAACCTTTAGTAATTTCTAACATAGGGAAAGCAGAAATAATTTAAATCCTGTGAGGTAGAATTTTTAAAAATGGCTGAAAATACTGTATTTTAAATTCACTATGAAATAGCCTGTCCAAGCTAGTATTTGTGGTATTTGTAGCAACTTATAGATAAAGCAACCATCTCCAAATAAATTTTTGTGTACACCTCTAAACTGAAAGCTGTGTGGGGAGCAGATAATAACATGTCCACTGTAGGTTTTCTTTCCTGTCTGTAGATGGTAGAGGATGCAAAGGAGCAGTTTGTAAGTCTTCCCTTTTATGTCCTCACTCTTTGTAGTTCTCTTGCTCATTAGAAAGGACAGAGCAGGAAGCATGCTCATTTAGAGAAATTGAGCTGTAGTCCTGTTCATGTAGTTAAGACTACAGCAGGTCCAGAAAGGACACTGCTTTAAGTGAAGTGACACATTTAGGTTAAATTGTCAACTACTTCTATGATTGGATTCTCTAGCGAGAACTTGGGAAAAAAGAAAAAGTTGAAGTTAGAAAGTTGAACAGACTCACAACATCTACCTGTGTCTCACTATTGTTCTTCATCTTACAAATTTTGAACACAATACTGTAAAAAGTAAGAATAATGCAGGAATAGGGTGCAATTATGAAGAAAAAGAGAGAGGGAGGCAGTCACCCCCTCAGTTCAGCTGTGACCTGAGGCACCAGATTTTCTTTTTCATTTATCTTGTTTTCTGTACTAACGTACCAAGATAAAAGGCTATTCTGTCCATTCACTAATTTTAGTAACTCATAGTTATAGAGCCAGGGATTTAGCTCAGCGGCATAAGCGTGTGAGGTTGTGAGTTCAATCTCCAGTATAAATAAATAAATAAATAAATAAATAAATAAAATTTATTCTTAGGGCATAGGAAATAGAATGATGTAAAAATGATAAGATCTAAGGGAGAGATATCCAAGGAATAATGTAACTAGAGAGTGGGCATTGCTAATCTGAAAAACTTCCAAATCTGAAACACTTCTGGTCCCAGGCATTTTGGAAAAGGGATACTTTACCTATATTGTGGGAGAGTCCTGTTGCCATTGTTCCAGGTGAGGGACCTCAAACATTAGCTTAGTAGCAAGCCTGCAGTCTACAGTTATTAAACAGCACAGCAAGAATGCAGAAGTAGTATGGCTTTGAAATCCATACTACACTGTAAGCACTCAGAAATATATTAGTTGCAAGTGAATAAGCATATTTCTGAAAACTCAATTTTTTTTTTTTTTTAACTGGAAATCAAATTCAGGACCTTGTGCTTGCCAGGTAGGAGCTTGTGCCTCTGAAAACACTTTTTTTTTTTTTTTAAAGTACATCCAATTTTTGTTTTATTTAACTGTTCTCATTTGGATAAACATTGTTTTTTCTCTTTTGAGGTTTTTGTTGCGCTAAGAAAGGCAGAGCTTCTGAGGAACCAGAGTACCTTCATTTGACGGAGTTTTCCTTTAGAGTTAATCATGGCTTCTGAATTTTGACTAACAGCCTCTTTTCAAACAATGTGGCAGAAAAATACTTCACTTTGCCTTCTGTAGTTTTTTTGGAGTAGAGTTCTTAAAAGCAAGTCTTAACTTTGATTCCTGATTTTTAAATGACTTCTTTGTCGTAGAGAGTAGTTTGAGGGCTAAGGCGGAGTGTTGCTCTTTTAGCCTACTTGAACTGCCACAACAATCTGTCATAGATGGAGTGGCTTAAATAGCAGAAATTTACTTCTTAACAGTCCTGAAAGCCAAAGTATGGGATCCTGGCGAGAGCATTCTTCCTTGCTTTTGTAGACAGCCACTTTGTAACTGTTCACTCGGCCTTTCCTGAGTATATGCTAACGTGCTTGAGTGGTGTCTTATACAGGTGTCATCCCTGTCGGATTAGGACCGTGCTGCTAAGGACCACATAGGACCTTTATTGCTTCCTTTCATGGTGCTCTCCAAATACAGTTACACTGAATGATAGGTTTCTACCTACAAATATTTGGGGGGGAAACACACAATTCAGCCTGTAACACTTGGCCATTCTTGAATGGTGTAAATATTCAACCAGCTGGGATTGCAGTATGTCCTTCTGCCACTTGGTGGTACTGTTGCATAAAAGAAGCAGCATTGTTAAAAAGCAAACTCTTATTAGTCTTACTCCATTCTTTGTAATAGTTTTATTAAAACTTCATTTTATATAAGTCAAGACTTTTTTCTAATTTCTTAGCTGCTGATTAAACTTAGGCTGATGTGTTAAGCCCTTTTTTCCCTTGCTTTTAAAGTATGCAGTGTTACCATGGGTTCCCTTATTTTAAGTTGACAATATATTCATTTTTTTTAAAAAAATTGCATTCCTACATTTTATTAATGTTTTTAGTTATGTGTGGCAGTCCAGAGATTTTTGTTATACTGTAGCAGAATCATTGTGCATATGGATAGTCTAAAGAATCTGAGACAAACTTCTCAGAAGTTATGAGTAATTATCAAGGAAAGCCAATCTTATTTGATAATTTCCAGCCCTTGAATTTTTTTTTTTGTTTGCTTTGGGTTATTTTTTTCCAGATGAGGTATTACTGTGTATTTTGAAAAGAAAAATATGAAGCAGTTTTATAGTACAAAAGATACCTACAAGTACTTAGACACCTTTTAGTGGTTAGGGGTCAAATTCACTTCTAGTGTGTATACTTTTAGGGCAGGTGACAAGCAAGTTGTAGGGCTTGATAAATGGCAGAGCATGTATTCTTCCTCTGGCGTTGAAATGAAGTTAGCAAGGGCTTCTCAGATCTTTCCCTTGACTCAGAAGACTGCCATTTTCTGGCTAGTAGACTGAGCTTATGCTATAGTCAGGGATTGTAAGGAAAATGATTATGTTCAGGACATGTAATTTATAGTATTATTTATAATGGCCACCCAGTGAGTCAAATACAAAGGAAGTGCAGGAAATCTATCCACACAGTAAAGACCTAGAGAATCCAGCTGAGGGCCTGGATCCCACAACATTGCTCTGCATGAGTCCAGCGGAAGACCTAGAGCCCATGACAGTGCCCCCTAGGAGTCCAGCTGAAGACCTAGAGCCCATGACAGTGCCCCCCAGGAGTCTAGCTGAAACCTAGAGCCCATGACAATGCCCCCCAGGAGTCTAGCTGGAGGCCTAGAGCCCACAACAATGATTCATGCAAATCTGTTTACGGATATGCACTGGAAAGGCCCAAAGGTCAGTGGTGGAAGCTAAAAAATCTATGCCAGTGAGGTGAAGGAGCTGTGCCAGTAGACTGAAGTTTCTGCATTGTAGTCAAGAAAGGATGCTCAAAATAAGAACCAGGCTCCCCCAAAAA